CTTCACAATAAATCACGCTGTTTAAACACCATGAAGTCTTTTCTTGCCTTCAAAGTCATCAGCACTTGGATATTCGTGTATTTTCAAAAAGGTTTTACTTTGAAACTTTGGCAAAACACCCAGTTCACGACAGCGATTTTGTTCGGCTTTATATTCACCGCCTAGCGCGGTGAATATAACGTCATAGTCCGAGATAGCTAACCAATCAGATTGCTTGAATTACCAAGATCACTGAGTGTGTATATACTAATGTAAATTAACAGTAACACTGAAGTTAGCCTCTTCAAAACTCTCGTCTTGGAGCAACACGCGCTGAGGTAACCAACCCTTGGGGGGTGCCAGCGAGAGCAATTGATGGTGCCTTACTTGAAATAGAAAAAAATTAATGATCATGGCAACAAAGAGACAAGTTGGTAACTTGCTGACACCCTCTGAATGGCTTTTGGTAGCGCATTTGCACTATCAAGTCTCAGAATAATACTCCTCCTGTCCAGTTTTAAGGTGAGAGGGGGACCAGGAAACCAACATACCTTTCCTTTTTTTCGGTAGAAATCATGGCATTGAGATTGAGGTACACCAAAGAAGAGGATGAGTGTATCCTAGCACTTGTTAGAACAAAACACAACGACCAAATAAGCGGCAATTCCATTTGGAGAGAGGCGGAGCTCTTACAGGTAACTGTATAATACAACATACTCAACCCTAACCATCTTTTGTTCTAGCCAAAAATGTCTCATTGATAGGTTGTCCCAGGTCGCACCTTTCAGTCACTGCGGTCAAGATACTTAAAAGTATTGCGGCCGCAGTGGCTGAATAGCAGAGGAAGAGTCCCCTGGAGGACCCGGGAGCCCACGCCAGAGTCAAGTACGGAACAGGAGGACGATTGTTATGAACACCAGGAGGATGAAGATACACAAACGTCGAGTACCGATGAGGAACAAGAGTATGAAGAAGAGACGAGGAAGGAGATGAAGAAGAAGAAGAAGAGGAGATGGAAGAGGAAGAACATGAGGAGGAGGAGGAAGAAGAAGAGAAAAAGGAGAAACAAGGAGAGAAAAATAAAAAAGAAGAGGTGGCGGAGGAAGAACAAGAGGGGAGTCGGGAAGATAGGGATTATGTCTGTCGCCTCTATCTTTCAGAAAGGAGTAGTGAAACTGAAAGTTAGGTTACGAGGTTGCTTTAACATTACAATAATAGACAAAACCTTTCGCTTATTCATATTTTTAATCAAGTTGTCGTTATGTAAAATATTTGTTTAAGTAATTTCAATGAGAAACATGAAAAATATATAAAAGAGAAATATTTCAGCCATTGGGTGTCTACAAATTTGTGAGTTTTTAAAAAGGTCGATGTAAGGACTATAATACACACATTTTTTGAAAGTAAACTTCCCATTGTTAGCCACCATTCAACATTTTAATGTCCATTTATGGTCAAGACCGCCTTGCAATCACCCTTCAAATATCAAAGATCATTTACAGGTTTACTTTCACCATACAAAGACTTCAAATAAGCGTGGCATTTTGATTCAAAATCGTCGACTAACCCTTTCAAAGATATCCAAGATGGCCACCATCCAACATTTAAATGTCCATATATGGTCAAGATTGCCTTGCTACCGCTCCTAAGACGACAGTAAAGTTCGTTGCAAGATCCAATTTGAAGCTACTCAATAAATCAGAAATTTTGACCCATATAATAGACTTTAAAAAATTCATAAAGGGAGTAACATTCAACAAACAAATAGAAATTAAGTATCATATAAAAGATCTCTAATTAGATGTGTCAATTAAAGTTACTAAGCAACAGAACCTTGAACAACGACCTAGAAAAAAAAGAATAATTACAACTTAAAAGGGCAAAAAAACAACTTTAAAAAAAAACATTCCAAAAAAAATTCAGACTTCACAAACAAAAAATCACAATATTCCACTACAATTTTCATCAATCCAAGCCAAATTAAAAATTACTGCCAAAATATTGTGGGCGTTTTAGACGTTGAATGTGTTTACTTCAGACTTTTGTGTGGGCGTTTTAGACCTTGAGTGTGGGCACTTCAGACCATGTGGGCGTTTCAGACTTTTTTGTGGGCACTAAAGGCCAGGATTCTAGCCCTAACCCTTACTTTGTGTACGAATCATTAATCTGTCAACGTCAGTTTGGTGGATGGAAATAAGTGTTGACCTCCAAGATGGCGTCCAAACCGTGAAATCGCCTGTTACAAGTGCACGTACGAATACCCATAGTTACGGGCGTTTATGCAACAGGGCTCTGGGTCCGGTTGCATAAAACCTGCACTTAAGTGCTCACTTAAGTAGGTCACTTACGAATCCGTTATGGGTACACTTACGTGTGTTACATGGAACGCGCTTAGCACTCATAAGTTTCTGTTTAACGTGGTATCT